CCAGGGCAGTCCTGCAGACCAGATCTAAGTACCCCATGGGCCGGATCTGGCCGGTGGGCCTCGAGTTTGACACCCCTGCTTTACAGCAAAAAAGGCTATGGCCAGAGGATGTGAGGGGCAAGAATTGCATGACTAACAAGCAATCAAAGAAAAGTGGCGGGAATATGCAGTATAACTTTACACAAATGGAAAAACAAGGCCGAGTTGTAAGAAAAAAAGCAACTACCAGATATCCTGGAGAAGGAAGTAATGTGGGCACTCAAACCAGCTTCCTAAATGCAAAGCTCCTGGAATTGATGGAATTCCAGCAGAGTTGCTGTGACTGCTGCCAACAAAAGCACCAACAGCGCCACGCCAAAATGTATGGAAGTCTGGTCAGTGGCCAAAAGAATGGAAAAGGTCAATATTTATCCCAATAGCAAAGAAAGGTGATACAAAAGCCTGTTCCAACCATTGAACCATAGCTTTGATACAGACATGAGTAAAATTCTCTTGAAAATAATCCAGCAACATTTGAATCCAATTGCCAATAGAGAGCAGGATTTCGTAAAGGAAGATGAATGCATGTGATCATATTGCCAATCTATCTTGATGATGGAAAAAGCAAAGGAGTACCCCAAAGACTTTTACATATGTGATTCATTTTATACACAAATGCTTCTGACTGTGTTGACCATGACAAGCTCTAGAACTGCCTCAAAGAACTGGGAATATCACCACACCACATCCAGCTCATTCAAGCAGCCACTGTAAGAATGGAATATGGAGACACAGAATTGGAAAAGGCACTCTGCAAGGTTGCATCCTGTCACCTATATATTCAACACGTTCACATAAATCAGGGGTCTTCAAACTTGACAGCTTTAAGACTTGTGGACTTCAATTCCCAGAATTCCTCCTCCAGTCATGTTAGTTCAAGTTTAAGTCCGCAAGTCTTAAACTTGCCAAGTTTGAAGACCCTTGATATAAATAGTTAAGAGAAATGCATTCTTTGGAGGAATCTGCCATTGAGATTAAGTAGGAGTGTCACAAACCTCCAATATATGGATGATACAATTTTGCTCGCCGAAAGCAACGAAGCTTTGGGGTGGCTAATCCTAAGAGTCAAAGATGAAAGTGACAAATTTGGTCTGCACCTTAACATCAAGAAAACAAAAATATCATTCAGAGGCAAGATTATCAAACAAAGGCTACCATGTTTTGGCCATGGACTCACTATAAAAAGTCAGTCATGCTGGGAGTGATTAGCGGAAAAAGAAGAAGGGGCGGCCCTATTATCCAATGGGTGGACACTATAAAGGATGACACCAAAATGACCATGACGGATCTGAAGGAAGTGGGGTGAGACAGAGGGATATGGAAAGTGCTGACCAGAGGTGGTATTCAGCAGGTTCTGACCAGTTCTGGAAAAGCAGTCGCAGAAATTTTGAGTAGTTTGGAGAACTGGCAAATACCACCTCTGACTGGAGGTTTTACAGTATCATTCCTTGCCATGCCCACCAAGCCACGCACATAGAACCGGTAGTAAAAAAAACTGAATCCCACCACTGGTGCTGACCCATAAAGTGGCTGAAGGTTGGACCTGACTGAATGGCTGATGACAAGTCAAGATTTCTCTTAAATTAGCTTCCAGGAAAATAAAATAAATGTCGCAATAATTAAAAGTCTTACAATAAATGTATTATTGTATATATATTTTTTTCTACCACTAACAATTAACTGTTATGTGAAGAAGTACTTCCTAACAGCTGGATTCAAACATTACACAAAGCCAAAATCCATCGTTCCCCAATCTTTCCAGCGGGGTTGAGAGAGGGGATGGTTCCACACGAGTGACTGGCAAGCACTCTGAATTTGTGCGAGTGGCGGGGATGTGTGCCCGGCATTCAAACAAATGGAATGCATGTGCACATACTTGCCCGCTGCTCACACAAGTGGGGATGCACACAGCGCTCACCTGCCGTTTTCACGGCCCAGTTGCAAAGAGCTCACGGCCCAATAGTGGGACGGGCCCTGGGAGTATGGACCCTTGCCATAATCTATCCTCAACTTAAAATATTACGTGACTAATATTTATGGCATATCGCATGTGAATCCTGCCAACTGTGATACACTGAGTAAATCATGTTTAAAGAAGCCATAATTTAAATCAATGTACACACCAAGTTTTTATCTATTTTTCCGTTTAGTTTCAATATTCAATACTCCTGAATTCTACTTTGCCAGAGCAAGAAAAAAAATTTTCTAGCCACTTTGTCTAAGCCAGGGGTGTCAAACTCGCGTCATCACAGCATCGTCCCATGACATATCATGAACGTTTTTTCTCCTTTGCTAAACGGGGCATGGGCGTGGCCAGCACATGACGCATCAGGCCTGCGGATTGCAAGTTTGACAGCCCTGCTCTAGTGCATCTATGTTTTTACATATTTCTATCATTCCTCCGCTCATTTCCAATTTTCCCATCTTACAACATCCCATCGATTTTCTCCACAGAAGAGTCAAAGCAAAGTTACTGTATAGAAACAGAGAGCAAGCCCCACTCAGTTGCACTGATAATAATTACCCAGTTGGGTAATGAAACACATGCAGGCAAACAACTAAGCTCAGACCGCACCAAGGACTCCAAAGCAAGCAATCTTTTTCAACTTCATATAAATGCCTTATTGTTGATCTTTATTACAGTGTGTAACAAGCAAAGAATGTCAAGTGTGATTCCTGTGTAATACGTGCATACATTCAAGGAAAATTGGTGTCATTGTGTAAATGATATTTCCTCAGCAGAAGAATTAAATTAATTCCAATTTTTTCTGATTAAGCTTCAGGGCTGACTTCTGAGAGGAAATGTGGGTATTTTCATAATGGCCTCTACTTAAAGAACACTTCTGGTAATGACACCTTCCAACATTTGTTGACATCGCTGGCACACAGCTGAAGAAATTTGGAGCTGAAGGGGAAAAAAATGGACTCCATTCTAAAACCTAATCCACAGCAGTTCTAAATACAGAACGTGGACCACTTTTCTTTCCCAAGGTTTAGTATAACTGAAGCATGTGATTTTTCACAATCCTGTTGTGTATCGATTACACACTTCGATTGATGGGACCTATACATGGGACATGTGAAGCAAATGCCCAGCGCAATGAATTTTGAATAGGGGAGCAGGTCAACTTGGCAGTTGGGTCACCAGTTCTGCTGGTTGGTGACCGATTTATGTTGTCTATTTCGTTTGATTCACAGAACTGAGGGATTTATAAGGGCGGGTATCTGTCCTATGTATTCCACCATTATGTGGCTCTGGAGTGATGTATCACCATCTCTCGGAAAACTGGTGAGGAGAAGCTCCGGGCCTTGAAACTGTTGGTTTGGACTGGTTTGGGTTAATGTTGAGGGATGATTGCTGGCTGTCATGGGATCACCCTTGGGTGAGAAGGGTGCAGCCTAGCACCCAAGAGTTTTGTTTTGTTCCTCTCTATTTACAGAGGTGGTAACAAGATGGAGATAGAATGGAATGTGTTCTTTTGATGAGTTGGCAGTGATGCAGAGTGCAAACTTTACAGGCAGTCCTCAATTTACAACAGTTTGTTTTTCACACTTATGACTATCGCAGCATCGCCATGTCATATGATCAAAATTCAGCCCCCTGGCAACTGACTCGTAGTTATGACGGTTGCGGTATCCCAGGGTCATGGGATCCCCTTTTGGGACCTTCTGACATGTCAATGGAGAAACCAAATTCACTGAGCAGCCTTGTTACTATCTTAACAACTGCAATGATTCACTTAACAACGATGGCAAGAAAGGACATAAAATTGGGGGGGGGGGGAGAAACTCACTTAACAAATGCCTCCCTGAGCAAAAGAAATTTCAGGCTCAATTGTGGTTGTAAGTCAAGGAGTACCTGTAGTTAGACCAAGAGGCACTGAATGCTAGGCAGAAATGCCACTGACACCTGACTGGTTAGCTGGTTGTAACTTTGAATGGTCACTAAATGAACTGTTGTAAGTCGAGGACTACCTGTATATTAGGCCAGGACTTTGGTCAGCATGACTGGTCATGTTTTGGTGGGGTCTGAGTTAATCTATGGAGACATGGCATTACATTGGCTTTTGTTATGTTATTTATGTCACTGTTATTTTAAATTGTTGTTAGCACCAAGTTGGGTGGCTTTTAAATAAACAAATCTCCACCCAGAAAGTAACAATTACTCTCTTGAAAACTATAAGCCAGTGATCCCCAAGCCAACCTCTGCTTTCCCAGCTACCACATTTTTTATTTGTCTTAAAGGGATAAATTTTCCCTATTTGCCCTCCTACCCCATTTTTGTATTGGCTGGTGACCTTAGCCTCGCCTCCTTTGGTGTTTGTTTGTTTGTTTTTTGCCCGCGACACAAATGAATCCATGTATGAGTTGACTCATGAATCACCCACTCCAATCATGAAGTCTGAATCACCGGACTAAGGACTAAAAACCTACTGCAAGGCGCTGGTCCTCAGCAAACGTCTCCAGCTCCACTCCACACCTCCTTCAGCGATTCTCCTCCAACCTTTCCTCAGCTCCTGGCAGAAAGAGTGGGGGTGCTGATCCCCGCTACGAAGCCCCTTGAAAAGTGGAAAGGGGCTGTTTCTGGGCTCGGCTGTGCCCAGGTTCCACGTTGCTGGTTGAGCTTCCCAGGTATCGGGCGCATCGACCTGAACTGTAACTATAGTAGCTGCGCGTTCTCTTGGGCTGACGAACCCTCTCACTGCCATTCACCCCCAAAGGGCGGGATGTGTGCCGCTGTTCAAGGAAGCGGGGCCGCTGGGCTTTCTCGGGGGGAACTCCGTCTTTTGGGGGAGACGGAGGACGCCTCTCCACGTGGGGTTCCTTTGATAGGGCGACAAAGCCGCCCTCTCGGCTGTTTACAAGCAGTCGGTTTTGGAAGGCGCCACCGAGCGACGGTGGGGGGGTGGGGGGGGAGGGAGAGTGAGGATGGCAGGAGCAGCGTCGCGATTGGCGGCCGATTCGCCAGGCCGAGGGCTTGACCGCCCCGGCTCACCCTTAATCCCAAAGGGCCAGCTAGAAGGGCGCCTGCCGAGGCTGAATTTCCGCCCTCCGCCAGTCCCACCGGCTCCCCTTCTTTGTCGAGGGGTGGAAGGTACCTCGCCATTAAAGAGGATCCAGGTTGACTCCTTTTGAGTTCCTTAAGGTGGGTGGGGGGGAGAGGAGAAGCGCCGAGATTAGTAGTAGCCGCGCCCGAGAAACAGGAGCGGCCGCGCTTGTCAAGAGTCAAATTAATTACACGCTCCCCTCCCCCCCTTCGTCGGCTACTCGCCGCTCCGCACGCAGGACTTGGCC